TTGTCATCATTCTTTGCTGAAATCAGGTCTCTCTTGTAAATGAGTCCTGGAGGCTCAATGGGATTTACCTGTCTAAATGAAGGTTGAATGAATGAATGAACAATGATTTGTCTATGAGATATTTTCCTAACAAAACTGAGTTGACTACAACAGTTAATCAGAAAGCTTTAAAAATGGATCTTGTGTGATTAGTTAGCCTTCAGAATTAGTGTTGTAATGGACTCGCAGCTACTACTACTACACAAAAAAAAAGTCATTATGAAAATCTGTAAACTTGGCTAAGTTATTAAAAGTTTTGCTTTTTGCTAAGGTTGGACTGTGGCAGCCATCTTGAATAGAGCTGACTCCAACTGTTAGTCAGTTGTAAATATACATCTATTGATTGCTCTTTGAGTTTTAATTAAAATCCATGCAATGGTCTAGGAGACATTTTACTAATGGTACAGACAAACGAATGCACACACACCTACCTTGGCAAAAACAGTCACTTGTGCATTCAGTGGCAACAATAAGGGAGAGCAACTACTGTATGTTGGGTAGCAACTACTTTAGTCCCTGTACTAATTTAAAATGGTATTAATGAAGTGGCTACACACACTATCTGTGAATTAACTGGTCTTAGGGAACACTTAATGAAAATTAATGTTGTTTTTAATTTCTACTCTAACATCGTACAGTAGTAATTCTCAGTAGGCCATACTGATCTCTTGACAACAGCTTCTACCAGCTAATAGGGATTGTCTCTTTTGAAATCCTAGATGTAAAATATAAACCAATCAAATTGAGCAGGAGCACTAAATTGTTCCAGGGTGATTTACCAGTCCATCTGTCATTTAACTCAGCCAACAACGAGAATCTTCCACGATCAGCCAAACCAACGTCATAATCCTGAACAACAATGCATGCTAATACGTGCTAAAAGGCTCCTGTACAAGAAGCACCATACTTTTCTGTGCTAACATGTACTAATATGTTTGATGAATAAAAACCAAGAAAACGAGGAAGAGGAACATTGTGGAAGAGAGGGGTATTGTGGAAGATGAAAGAAAAAAATATTAAAGGGAGAGAAGGAAATGAGGGGAATCACTACTACTGACACAGATACACACACCAGGATGATGCTGTCCCCTCCCCCACTATTCACATACCCAAGTATTTGAAAAGCATCTTAATTTAGAAGGGCATTGAGATCTTGTTTTACAAACATACACATGCATACAGCCATGAAAGACCTTTATTTTCCAATGTGTTAAAAGTAGAAAGAAGGAGGACCAATTAAAGAGTCGACATTCTTTAGCAGAAATGAGCTATTTCCTTGGGGAGCCAATTTTTTCAGCAACAGTACTGGTCATCCTCTGCATTGATAACTTGACCACATCAGATCAGCCCAACCCTGAAGAAACTAATATGACAAACTAGTTTAGCTCTGATCCCCTTGAAGAGCAATGAGTCAAAGCTGGAAAGGTGCTCACAACCAATGAGAAACTCATGACAGTTTATCATAATCTCATATTTAGACAATCCTAAAAGGGGCAGGTACATTAAATGATGGTAGGATAGGTTTCACTGGAAACAGTGACAAACAAACAGCAGCTAGTCATCTACTCAACACGCCAAGCTGGTCCTACTATTTTTACACTTTGCACGTCTACTTATGTAGTGCTACTAAGCATGTTAAGACATGCACTGAATTGAAAACATGCCCTATATCTTGTCAAGCATGGTGACAATCAAAGAAAACTAATTTGTCTCATCACATTTCTAGCTGTATCAAATGCAAAGAACTGTATTTTTTTTTATAGAGACAATGAATGTGCCAACCATAAATGCTTTTAAATTTATAATGGACAAAATTAATATATACATCACTACATTTAATATACATTACAGTGTTTCCTCTACCATTATACAAGCAGGGTGCCACACCCTGTCAACAGAACCGAGCGCCCTGCCTACTAAACTTATAGGTCCTTATAGTCCCTACAGCAAGTTCTGAGCCTTTTTGCAGCGAAATTCCCTTTTCTCCTAATTAGAAATGTTAAAGAAATCAACAACTCCAAAGGAAGGAAGCAAAAGAAGCATCCTGATGAGATGCCAAATAATATCCAAAAGTTTCCCTCACAATCAGATCCAGCTTATCACCATGTGGTATTCAGGTTTCTCTCTTTACCCGAGTATCCAAGGTCCCTTAAACATGGGAATGGTTTTTATAAAAACTGAAAGGTTTATTTATAATTTCAGCCTTGCATCCACATGAATATGGCATTTTAGAGAACCACTAAACAGAATAATTTCAATGAACAGAAAACAATGATGAATAATCAAATAAATTGGACAAAAACAGTTTGAACATTCCTCATATTACAACAAGTAATCAAAAGCTAAAATGGTTATTGAACAGTTAAGAACAAAAAACAAACACTGCACTAAAAAACTACAATATTCATCCATACATACATACATCAGTATTCCCCCTACCGTTATACAAGAAGGGTGCCCTGCCCTGTCAACAGAACCGAGCGCCCTGCCTACCAAAATGTCCTTCACCCACAACTCAACCCTTGAGCAGAGAGGTCCAGACATCTCTTCCACAGTCACCTCTTCCAGATCTTCTGGGAGGACCCCAAGGCATTCCAGGCCAACCGAGACACATAGTCTCTCCAGCGTGTCCTGGGTTTTCCCCAGGGTCTCCTCCCAGTCGGACATGCCTGAAGCACCTCCCTAGGGAGGCGCCATGGGAGTATTCTTACCAGATTCCCGAACCATCTCAACTGGCTCCTCTTGATGTGGAGGAGCAGTGGTTCTACTCTGAATCTCTCCTAGATAACTGAACTTCTCACCCTATCTCGTGAACAAACCCAGAGATACTTGAACTCCTGCACTTGAGGCAGAACCTCACCCTCGACCTGAAGAGAGCAATCCACCCCTACTGAGGGCCATGGCCTCAGATTTAGAGGTGCTGATTCTCATCCCAGCCGCTTCACACTCTGCTGTGAACGACTCCAGTGAGAGCTGAAGATCATGGCATAAAGACGCCAACAGGACCACATCATCTCCAAATAATAAGAGATGGAATCCTGAGGCCACCGCACCGGAATCCCTCCTCCCACTGGCTGCACTGAGAAATTCTGTCCATAAAAGTTATGAACAGAATTGGTGACAACTGGCAGCCCTGACGAAGTCCAACTCCCACCCTGAAGGGGTCCGACTTACTGCCGGCAACGCAAGCCAAACTCTCGCACCACTTGTATAGGGACTGAACAGCCCATAACAACTGGTCCCCAATCCCATACTCACGGAGCACCCCCCACAGTGTACACCGAGGAACATGGTCGAATGCCTTCTCCAAGTCCACAAAACACATGTAGACTGGATAGACAAACCCCCATGACCCCTCAAGGACCCTAGTGAGGGTGAAGAGCTGATCCAGTGTTCCACAGCCAGGACAGAACCCACATTGTTCCTCATGGATCTAAGGTTCGACCAACGATCGGACTCATTTCTCCAGTACCCCTAAATAGACCTTACCAGGGAGGCTGAGGAGAGTGATGCCCCTATAATTGGAGCACACCCTCCGGTCCCCCTTTTTGAAGAGGGGAACCACCACCCCAGTCTGCCAGTCCAGTGGAACTGCCCCCGATGTCCACGTGACATTGCAAAGGCGTGTCTACCATGCAGCCCCACAACATCCAGAGCCTTAAGGAAATCAGGGAAATCTCATCAGGGATCTTCAGGATCAGGAATCTTTCACAGGGAAATAAAGAAATCTCATCCAAACCCAGAGCCCAGCTGCCGCAGAGCTTTTGAACTACTGACATTATTTGTGAAAAAGTTCAACATTTTTTGTCAGTCATTTCAGAAAGTGAAACTCATATTTTACATAGATTCATTACACAGAGTGAAATATTTAAAGCCTTTATTTCATGTAACATTGATGATTATGGTTTACAAACAATGAAAAACCAAACATCAGTGTCTCAGAAAATGAGAATATTCCACAGTTGGTCCCTTTGTCAGTGTGGAGCGGAGCCAAGTCCTGCTGGAAAATGAAATCGGCGTCTCCATAAATCTCATCAACAGAAGGAAACATGAAGTCTCTACAATGTCCTGCTAGATGCTGCGTAGACTGCGGACTTCAGAGAACATAGTGGACCAACACCAGCAGAGGACATGGACCCAAACCATCAATGACTGTGGAAAATTCACTCAGGACTTCAACAACGTGGATTCTGGACCTCTCCACTCTTCCTCCAGACTCTGGGACATTTACTTATAAATGACATGAACATTTACTTCCATCTGAAAAGAGGACATTGGACCACTGAGAGACAGTCCAGTTCTTTGTCTCCTCAGCCGGAAGACACTTCTGATGTCTCTGGTTCAGGAATGGCTGGACTTGAGGAATGAGACATTTGTAGCTCATGTCTAGGAGTTAATTAGCTGATTCGGGTGAGACATCACGAGTTTACAACACTGAACCTCTTCACAATATTCTCATTTTCTGAGACACTGAATTTTGTTTTTTCATTATTTGTAAGTTATAATTATCAAAATTACAAGAAATAAAGGATTGAAATATTTCACTGTGTGCACAATAAATCTATTTAATACAGTATACGAGCTTCACTGTGTTAAATGATTGGCACAAAATTGAACTTTTCCACCATATTCTAATTTTTTAGATGCACCTGTACATCAAGTGATAGTGTTCTGTTTCTGAGAGTGGAGGCATTAAAAACAAGAGCAGCAAATCGACAGGCAGATTCAAATAACCACACAGGAGTCGCTTTATTTCACTGATGAGGAGTAACACTGGAAACAGCTGTGCAGCTGCCACATTTTCTTTTACTGTAAAAATGGGTGTAATTCTGCATCATATTCCTGTCCTCAGAATACAGCCGCGATAAGAGCTGAGTGTTTAAATCAAGACTGCTCAGTGCAAGTGAGCAGCAGCCCTATTCACACACAGTCTGCAGACACAGAAGCTGAATCACTTTTACCTGCTACTTGTGTTTTTCTTGCTTTTGTTTTTCTTTTTCAGGCTTTCTTTCTCCTGACTGCTGATGAAAGGTGGCATGGAGGCATAACCATGCTCGGCTTCTGCAAGCAAATAAACAACATAGTGGTCACATGCTCTGTTCTCTGCAAAATATAGCCACATTGAGAGCAAGCCAAGTCTGGGGGAGGAATAGTGCAAGGTGTCACATTTTGAGCTTTATGATCTCTGCTGCAGTGTTTTATGCTGAGGTGCATGCATGCAAGGAAAGGATTTAATGCAGTATTTTTATACAGCCCCCCCCCCCCCCAACCCACTCCTCTCAGCTTGGACAATGATGTCATCCTGAACTACAATAAACCTCACCAGCAAACCACAACAGAAGGAAAGGAGGAGTCTTCACTAAAACACCGTGTTCCTGTACAGCTGACTATATTGGAAACGTGCGATAATTTTGCATAATCAAAAATATGCACCTTTATCTTTGCAGCATGCATTTATGTACTAAACGTGTTTATGATCGGTCTTATCAGCACCATTAACACGACGATGAGCACCTTTCTAGATAAAGAACATGCTGTGCAGACTGACAATGTTAATATATAGTATGTGACTTTATATACTAATGAAGTGCAGCAAGCAACCAGTTTTTTTAATGCAGCTGTAAAATAATGTGCAGAAATTCAGAATTAGTGCAAAGTAACAATCGTGTAAATGTTCTTATTGGGAAAAAGAACTTGCAGTCTGAATAAAATGTTACTTTACCTCGTTCCCTGCGATCCAGGTATTCGGCTGCTTCGATCAACATCTGCACCATTCCGATCGCCGCCATTTTCAACAATAACACAAATAATAATAGAACAATCCAGTGAGGGATTCCGTGACTGTAGCAAAGGTCTTTCCTCTCTCTGAACACCAAGATGCTTTGCTGTTTTCTGCCGGTTAATGTCTTAACAGGTCACGGTTAAGACTCGCTCCTGCAGGTTATCGGTTGATCTTTTTAAAAGTTAAAGGTCCCGAATAAAAGAAGCAGTCTGTAAAAAGCGAAACTGGTCTCTTCCTTGTAGATCACTTAAAAAAATGATTAAGGGCTTGGCGATTTAACCGGCTAGTCGACGCTAACACTTCCTGACGGACAAAATTATTAATATGAAACCAATCTGCTAGCAAAGTTGTCTTGTTTAGGTGTACGGGTTTTTTTTGTGTGTGTGGAAAATTCGGCAAGTAGGCCCAAAAAATTAAACAAAAGACTGTTTGAGGAATATCTTGTCGCCAGTACTGCTGCGGGAAAAACAACAACAAAAGTTGGCTAACGTTAGCGCAGGCGAAAAAACCGACTGAGTCCTTGCTAGCTCGGTTGTAGTTTATTGAGCAGCAGCCAGCGATTAAAAAAAATGACAGTCTGTTTGCACTTGCCTGGTATGAGAAAGAATAAAAAAACTATAGTTGTTGAGTTTAGCAGGCGTTGTCATCTAACCTATTCCTACGGAACCTTCTGGGCTTGCTAGTTATGTACTGGTTATCGCGGATAACGCGTGATACGTCTCGTTAAATGAAACAACTGACATGAGCGACAGTTTGCCAAAGTGCATCCAAAATTGAGGCTTGTTGATGTGGACAGCAGATACCCAGTGTACAGTAACACAAAGCCTCTGTTTGCTGTTACCTGATTGGATATTGAAGAGAACAACTCAATTTCTTATTGGGTTTCCAGTCTATCAATGTATAAAAGGGGTTGGCTTAGACCGCCACCGAGGACCGTGTTCAGCCATTTTGGCTCCAAGTTCCATTAGTTTGTACACGGGCGGGAGCCGTAATGGACTGCGTTTCCGGACGTTGTGAGTACGTGTCGCGATTGGCTGTTTTCTGATGAACTCGTCGGCTATTGGCTGAAAAGAGCACGAGCTTATAAAATGACGAGCCCCTTTAACAGTAGCCACGCCCCTCTGCCATGCTGTTTCGCGGTGGATGATGACGGTTGGCTGTCACTGTGTTGTTTGCCTTATTTTGTCTTCCAGGATTGGCTTGATTCGTCCTCTTACACGTCTTAGATGGTCCTATCACAAAACGTATTTCGCTCACCCCCACGAGCCGGCTCCTTGCATATTTTTTTTAAATAAAACTTTATTGCAAACAAAAAAAATCTTACAAGCAAACAGGTTTTAAAAAAAAATCACACACACAATCTGAGAATGAGCTGAAAAATCTGAATGCAAATTGGTTGATAAAAATGAATGGTACAATAAATAAATAAATTACTTAAAACCAAAGCCGTTCAGGATGGTAAAATCAAGCCGTAGCAGATACGGTTCGCCTCATTTATATAGTCCGACCCACCTAACGGCTCGTCAAGAGTCACCGCACACTAAAAACTGGTCTTACATAAGCAGCAGGAGCAGTCTACACCTCTCCTGTTGGTGTTTCAATGCTAAAATCTAGTTAAAAGTTAATGAACCATATTTATAATTCATTAGCTCCCACTCTACCTTCCTGCTAAGTGCTAACATGTTACTTGTTTGAAAATATAATGGATAAACTCCGCCCTCGTCATCACTTTTGGCCAACTCATGCGCTGGTAAATAAATAAGGAACGTACCTACATCCACATGAGTACACTGTGTTCAAGACATGAACTTTAGAGATGCTTGTGAAATTAATGCTTTCCGATTTTATATTTTTAAATACAAAAAAGTGAAAGTCTTCCTGCTGAAGTAGGAGATAACTTGAACTTACAAACTTTATTACAGTAACTGTGAGCAGGAGGTCCAGTTTGGTCCTCATGGTCCCTCTGAGGAGCTGGAAAGTGACTTCACCATGTTGTAATACGGGGTGCTGCTGGTTACCCCACTGGTCCCAAGCTTGGTAATATAAACACAACGTCTTGCATTTGGCTGTTCTGCCTCCCGAGCATTTATGACAGGCATGCACTTGTTGAATTTACTGGCTACATGTAACCTGGCATAAATAAAGCTTTTTTTTTTAAAGCAGCTCCTTAAACACATACCTTATTTTCATGTATTTGCTTGCACTATAAAAGAATTATATTCTGAGTTGTGACTCGTCATCGTTCTCGTGATCTTTCAAGTTGTTCCAAATTATCTGCTTCTCAACACTTTTACTTTCTAATATCCATCAGTGAGGCGCTGCATGCTTCAACGCTGAGGCTCGCCTACTTTTCAGCTAGATTTTGTAAACTGTGTGCTAAAATGTTTCAGCTGGAATCAAAACTGTAGCCAAACTAACTGGGCAGAAATAACAGCTTTTAATACTTTCTTCATCTGCGTATAGAATGCATCTTCATCCATTTGATGGTGCAGAAGGGTTCCCAAACCCTGGTTGAGTGTGCACCCTGTGCAGGTGTTCTGCTCCAAACATTCATCAACGAGCTTCTGCACAACTCCACAACGCTTGGGAGATGATCAAAGTTTGAACCAGGTGTGTGTGCGAGAAAGGACAAGTCTGCGTGCAACGTGGGAATGATTTGTGGATTTTTTTAAATTCTTTCCACAGTATGCTTGACTTGGATGTTTAAAGTTTGTGCTTCATACCTTTTACTAGTGGCATGATTAATAAGCTGAACATGCAGGGCAGTGCACCCTGAGAATGACCTCTGGTGTTGAGGGAACTAGAGTCGTGTCTCACAGTTGGGAGAGCTGTTGCCTTTCTGCAAAAAGGTTGTCAGAATGAATCCCGGCCGGAGGCCTATCCGAGTGGAGTTTGCATGTTCTCTCTGTGCATGCATCGGTTTTCTCCAGGTACTCTGGTTTCCTCCCACAGACCAAAAACATGCATGTTAGTCTGATTGGTAACTCTAAATAGTCTCTAGGTGTGAGTGAGAGAGTGAATGGTTGTTTGTTTCTGTGTGACCTTGTGATGGACTGGAGACCTGTCCAGGGTGTCCCCTGCCCTTCACACAGTGACAGCTGGACATGGGTATCAGTGACCCCCCGTGACCAGAAAAGGAAGAATTGAGTAAAAACAATAAATACAAAAACTACCTTTTTTTCCAAATAACAATAAAGAAGTTCAAATATTTCAGAACATCTTAGTCGAGTAAAAGTAAAATCTGCCAGAATGGTTCAAAATGTTTTATTAATTACTAGGCGAGTGTTGACACGGGACGTATAAATAAACAGAAACACATTTAATATTTGAACTCTTCCAATCACCACTACACGTGCTCACAACAAACTCAAGCACCAAACTGGAACATCGCCTTTTTATTAACAAAACTTGAGCTTTGGAAAATGTAGACAGAGGCTGCAACGCTGAAAACCGTTTCTAGAGTTTCAGACAAAAATTTGTTGTTCTGATGCCAATTTAAGATCTGAAGAAAAAACCCTCCTTTCAAACACTTTGAATGAGAAACTTTGCTTGAGAAAATAAAAGCTTTAAAAATAGAAGAAGGTAGCAATCAAACAGCACAAGACCCAACAACAATCAATACAGCTAACATTTGTGTCAGAAGTCACATGTAGTCAGTCATCGCTAAAGTCTGAATACGAGGGAAAGAACCAGCAAAAATCAAATGTTGGGGGATCTGGAGACAAGAACAAAATGCATTTTATAGATTTGCAGACATTTTATTCTTAAGCAGATAACCTTTAACTAATAAAACACATATGCAAAGATGTAAACTTTAATTTTAAACAATACACCATGAACTTGAACCACACACCCAGACATTATTAAGACCTGCTGAATGGATCGAGTGGCTATGGTTCCAGAAAAAACAAGTTTTAATAAGAATAAAATTCCAAGGACCCCATTCCAATGTAAGAGGACTTGAATCTAAAGTGAGGCGCAGTGGTTGTCATTTAGATGTCTTGGCCTTCATGTACGGGTAAATGTCAATGTGCACGAACAAAACAATTGTCTAAATATAAACATTTTCATAAGAACTACAACTAGATTTGTCAATTTGTTTTTATTCATACCATCATCCATGTCAAAAAAACAACAAAAAAATTCCACCAATCAGCACTGATCTGTAAATGAGTGCAGGTTCAACTTTTTACATTTTGTAATTTAAAAAAAAAGAAACATTTTATACACACAGACTGTCTGAATCATAAATTACATTTAACTGGTATTCTCTTCTTGCAGGAGGAAACGGGGCAAACCTTTTAAAAGCGATTGATATGTTCAAGCGATGAAGTCCAGTGGTCTGTTGAATCCTCCCTTTCTGTTCATGTACTGCCTACAAAAAGATTGAAGGAAACATTGCATCACTGTTTCCCTCACAACACTTGCAGATTACATCATCAAGCATCAATAGGAGTGCAGGATTCTCTGCATAGAAACAGCTGCTGAGATGATTGGCTACTGCAACAGCTGTTGGTGTTGTGAATGCTCACTGCTGAGGAGGGTCAAAACTGTTCCTTCACATTAAACAGAGCTGAGGCTCAACAGGAGCTTTACGATGACTACAATAAAACAAAAACTACATTTGTTTTTATTCCTAAGTGGCTCTGTAAAGATGCTGCACAACCTAGAAACCATTTGGTGTTTAAATAATGATTTTGTTGGTGTAAATATACCTGTATTTCCTCTTCATTGTAACGTTGACTGCAGATGCATTAACTGATCCGTCCGTTTTCCTCCCCTGTGGAAAAACCATAAACGAAAGGAGCATAGAGGTCACACACACTTTATAAGTAAAATATTTATTAATGCAGGTGGAATTATGTTTTATAATCCATTTAGAGGAACACCAAGATGCATAAAGCAACAAGTCAGCCAAAGTGCAAACATTAAAAAATGAATGTGACTGAACTCAGTTAGGCAGTGGAGCACACTAACACCATCTGAAAGCAATGGCGCCATCTTGTGGCTGAAAGACGCACTCACTTTGCTGGAATTAAATGAAGAAAATCCCATCAGCTTCATCATCTCAATCTCCTCTTCTGTTTTGCCTTCCATGTCCTCCGCTGTCAAAACACAGGGAAAATTATTTAGCAAGCTGCTTAAGCACAATTACATAATGTCCAGGACAATGGAAAAAATGCATTCTTGCTAAAACTACATGGGGGCTGAGATGGGGGTAGAGGCAGGGCAGCCGACTGGGACCAGAAAGTCCCAGGTTTGATCCCCAGTCATTGCACATCTCGTGGTGTCTCTGAGCAGCACACCCTATCCCCAATTGCTGTGACTTCAATAGGTGCCCACTGCTCCACCTGGGGGTGGATGGGTTAAATGCAGAGAGCCAATTTTGCCATTGTATGGGAATACAATGATGAAAACACAACACTTTATATGACTGTGTACTACCTGAGATCTGGACAGGCTTTGCCGACTTTTCTTTCCCATCTTTGCGTTCATCGTCGCGTCTATCCTTCTGTCTCACAGGAGAGGATGAGGAGGAGCGATGACGCCTGGGGGGAGACCTGAACACGGAGCACAAAGATAGCTGCAGGACGGGTTATCACGACTAATGAGAGACGAAACGTCTACTAACGATATGTTCAAAATTTACAAAGATTTTTTAAAAGATGAATAGTACAATAGACATACAACACTTGGCTTTGACAACTAAACTGACATTTTGGTCCAAAGTTGCAATGAACATATACACTGCCATCCAAGAGCTTCCATATTTTTCACCCTATAAGTTGCGGGGTTTTGCATAATTTGCATGCCATGCGACTTATACGCCAAAGTAATGCATTTATGAATTTTCCCCCATATCTATAAACCAATTTTTGCCTGAGATATGACTTTTCATTCATTCTGACATGGAAAACATTTAACACTACCATTTTCAGCTGCTAGAAAGCGCTCGAGTAATATGGCATTCCGTTGTGTCATGTAATAGGTAAAAAAAGTGACTATTAATGACACAGTTGGCTTGCCATAGACTGCCACCTTCATTCTGCTCGCTGCTTGGAGCAACCGTCAAATCAGCTTTATTTCACTGCACCGCCCCAGTGAAATGCAGCTAATTTAACCATTAAAGTGCATTTAATAAATAAAAGTTCAACTGAGACACGCCTTTACTACAATGTTGAGCAAACAAATAATTGTGTTAGGTGCTTATCTTGTTAAATTTCAAAGAAATGCACAACGAGTCGCCCTCTGCACGTTCCTGTGTTGTATCGGCTTTTGAAATGCAGCTGAAAAAGTGCATTTATTAAGGAAAAGCGAGACTGAGACACGCCTTTACTATAACGTCGAGCAAACAAATAATTGTTTTTAAGTGTTAATCTTGTTAAAATACTCCCATGCACGCTCTTACAGCCATCATTTGGCAGCCCGTCGGTTTTTGGCACAACACCGGCCCATATTTCCGGGTTGTCAGTGGTGACACGTAATAGATGCGACGTATTTATGGATTTTTCCACTTTATTAGACATATTTGGACTGATGCGACTCATCGGGTGGTGTGAAGTTTACGGCGGAAAATACGGTAAATGTTTAGTTTGTATTGTCGCCAACACATTTGACCCAAAAAAGAAAAATGTTATAGGAAATGCAACACAATTAAATCAGGTCCTCTGAACGGTTTCTTTTTGTTGAAACGTTTCGTCTTTCATCCAAAAGACTTCATCAGTCTGAGGAGCCACAACAAACTCAGTCTTATAAATAGCACTTTCACATAGTGGGCCAACCAGTTTGACTTTTATAAAGACTGAGTTTGTTGCAGCTCCTCGGACTGATGAAGTCTTTGGATGAAAGACGAAACGTCTCAACAAAAAGAAACCGTCCAGAGGACCTGACTTAATTTTGTTGGATTTTTCTGCCTTGATTATTGAGCATGAACTTTGATGTTATAGGAAATGACTAACTCACCTTGAGCGCCTCCTATGTGGAGACCGTGAGCGAGTTCTGCGGCGCTCTCGCTCCCGATCTCTAGAACGAGAGCGGTCCCTCTCCCTTCGCCTTCGCTCGTGCTCCCGAGAAGTAGAGCGAGATCGTCTTCTCTCTGACAGCAGGAAGGATAAGAAACCACAACAATAGGTGAAGAATTTCACAGACTGCTATCCATGCACTGACGTTCTTCAATACCATTAGATATGTTCACACAACCTGCATGTGCATCCTGGACAACATCTGAGGATTTCCCTTACGACTGAAATAGCGAGTTGGAGTTCTTTATCAAATGGTAAATAAAAATTGTGCAGTGAAGACTGACTCACCATGTTGATTCTTTTATTAGTAGAAAATAAAGTATTCTGATTAAAACAAGTAGATGATTTTTCAGCACATGTTAGCCATCTAGTGATAACAGGGACTGAGGAGAAAGGCCAAGACTTCTACTGAAGCCAGAGTAGTTTGTGTGACGCTGATAAATTAGTTCAGATACATTTGTAGAAGTTAAAAAAGCTTCATGAGTAATATGATGAACTATAGATAAGACAGCATGTCTACAACAATGCTTTCTGCTTATTTTCATCCAGCCATCCATCATCTTCTGCTTATTCTAAAGTCGGGTCGTGGGAGCAGCAGCTTGAGCAGGGAGGTCCAGACATCTCTTTCCACAGCCACCTCTTCCAGCTCTTCTGGGAGGACTCCAAGGTGTTCTCAGGCCAACTGAGAGACTTATAGTCTCTCTAGCGTGTCCTGGGTCTTCCACGAATCCTCCTCCCAGTCGGACATGCCTGAAGCACCTCCTTAAGGAGGCGCCCAGGGAGCATCCTTATCAGATGCCCAAACCACCTCAACAGGCTCCTCTCGATGTGGAGGAGCAGCGGTTCTACTCCAAGTCTCTCCCAGATAACTGAACTTCTCACCCTATCTCTAAGGGAGAGTCCAGCTTTCATGCAAATTAACCTCATTTCAACCGCCTGTATCTGCGATCTTATTCGTTCGGTCACCACCGGTCAGAGCTTGCGACCATAGGTGAGGGTAGGAACGTAGACTGACCGGTAAATAGAGAGCTTTGCCTTACAGCTCATCTCTCTTCACCACAATGGACCGGTACAGAGTCTGCAATACTGCAGACGCTGCACCAACCCATCTGTCAATCTCACGCTCCATTCTTCCCTCACAATTGAACAAAACCCCAAGGTACTTGAACTCCTCCACTTGAGGCAGAACCTCACCCTCAACCTGAAGAGAGCAATCCACCCTTTTCCGGCTGAGGACCATGGCCTCAGATTTGGAGGTGCCGATTCTCATCCAAGCCGCTTCACACTCTGCTGCGAACCACTGCATTGAGAGCTGAAGATCACGGCACGATGACGCCAGCAGGACCACATCATCTGCAAACAGCAGAGATGGAACCCTGAGGCCAACGAACTGGAAACCCTCCGCCCTCTGGATGCACTGAGAAATTCTGTAAATAAAAGTTATGAACAGAATCGGTGACAACAGGCAGCTCTGGCGGAGTCCAACTCCCACCCTGAAGGGGTCCGACTTACTGCCGGAAATGTGAACCAAACTCTCGCACTACTTGTATAGGGACTGAACAGCCAGTAACAATGGTCCCCAATCCCATACTCACGGAGCACCCCCCACAGTGTACACCGAGGAACATGGTCGAATGCCTTCTCCAAGTCCACAAAACACATGTAGACTGGATGGACAAACCCCCATGACCCCTCAAGGACCCTAGTGAGGGTAAAGAGCTGATCCAGTGTTCCACAGCTAGGACGGAACCCACATTGTTCCTCCTGGATCTAAGGTTCAACCAACGATAGGACTCATTTCTCCAGTACCCCTGAATAGACCTTACCAGGGAGGCTGAGGAGAGTGATGCCCCTATAATTGGAGCACACCCTCCGGCCCCCATTTTTGAAGAGGGGAACCACCACCCCAGTCTGCCAATCCAGTGGCACTGTCCTCGATGTCCACGTAACGTTGCAAAGGCGTGTCAACCAAGACAGCCCCACAACATCCAGAGCCTTAAGGAAATCAGGGTGAATCTCATCCACCCCCAGAGCCCTGCCGTCTCTGAGCTTTTTAACTACCTTGGCAACCTCAGCCACGGTTATGGACGAACCAATCCCAAAGTCCCCCGACTCAGCTTCCTCCATGGAAGACATGCTTATTTTCACCCATCAACACAATAACATACACCACTTTCAGCTTTTCTTACAGCACAAATCTAATATAGCACTGGTTCAGTGTTTATGCAATACAAACTAATGGTGTCTTGATGCCAACCTCAAATACTTGTACTAGTAAAAACACACCAATACTCCAGACTGACACCACTTTTATGCTTGGCCATGCCATTCCTTTTTTTTTTTTTTTTTTTACTGAGCAAGTAACTAAGGACAAAAAAAGTCAAGATATTTTAAGATAAACACAGGTTATTTTAAAATGACAGTGTGTTCAGTAATGTTTAAATATCAGTAACTGCTACTGACAAGTACCCAAGCTGAAGTACTAGGTTTGGAAAAAACAAACAAACAAAAAAACACTAGGTAAGGGAAGTTTGAGATTGTCATCATTGCACGTTCCCATACAATGATGAAATTAGTTCTCTGCATTTAACCCATCACACGTGAGATACACCCAGGTGGAGCAGTGGGCAGCTATGCAAGCGCCCAGGGAGCAATTAGCGATTAGGTGTCCTGCTCAGAGTCACCACACGTGGGAATGGCTGGGAGTCGAACCGTGACTTTCTGGCCACAAAGTTTAATTGGACTTGGACTTGTCTCTTAAAGGTCTGTACAGTAGACAGTGGAACAACCAATAACAACAACAATAACACAACTTTTTTTATAAAGCACTTTAAAAACAACACCATTGGTTAAAGTGCTGTACATTAACACATACAAGCAAGCATAAAACAAAAAAATCAACTGATATAATAAAATGCACCGACACCCTGCAGGTGGGTAAATCTGGACTCATCACAACACTTGGCTGCATGCATTTCTTCAAGATTGTTTTTCCTTCACGAGTTTTTACAATACAGTACATTAAAAATCGTCCAACTCCATTTAACTAATTTCAGCATTCATCTTAGTTTTCACTGATGCAGACATAACTCTCTGGAACGGGGCAATACCTTTATCTTAGGACGTGTCTTGCAACTCTGATATTTTCTCCATCAGTTAAGGTTAAAACTTATTGCCAGCTGAAACATTTAATAATTTCCTGTTTGAATCGTTTACCTATAATTTGGTTAAACATACCTTGTATTTGCTTGTGTTAAATTACCTCACATCAATTAAGATAATATAAATGCAGACTGCCTCAGAGAAGCGACGTGACAATATAAGCATGAAGTGTTGATGAAAAGCTTTTAGATTAAAATTAGTAATATTTAACTAAAACACACTGCATCGCAGAAAGCTGTAGCACAAATCTAGTTGCTTCTATTAACTTTTGGAGACTTAACGTTGTTTGAACATTTCAAGACTGGTTCAAAACATTTTTATGGAGATAAAAATGTACACTGACAAATTAGGGGTGCACCGATAAATCGGCCGATTTTTCGCCAAATTTCCCTAATTTTGGGAAATCGTCCGATACTTGCATGAGAAACCGATTTTACCGATTTTTTGCAGTTTTAATTGTCTGAATTTTATTTATATTTCAGAGCACTACCTCATGGCCAGTTAAAACAAGTTTGTATTGTTTCTAGGATATTGTTCAAGAGTATGTTTTTCAATAAAATAATGGAAAATTGAAGGTACAACCTCTCCTCCTCCACCATAACCCTCAGCACTGGCTCTCCTCAGGGATGTGTGTTGAGCCCCCTCCTGTTTACTCTGCTCACGTATGATTGTGCAGCTACCCATCCAGTCTGTCACATTGTAAAGTTTACAGATGATACAGTGGTGGTGAGATGCATCACAAACAATGATGAGTCCAGCTACAGGCAAGAGGTGGAACACCTGGAGAGCTGGTGCAAAGAGAATAACCTTCACATCAATGTGAAGAAGACAAAGGAGATGATTGTGGACTTCAGAAGGAACAAACACACCTACACCCCCCTGAACATAAGAGGATCTGCGGTGGAAGTGGTCTCCAGCTACAAGTACTTGGGTGTACACATGAATGACAACCTCAGCTGGAGCAACAACACCACCAGCCTGATCAAGAAAGCTCATCAGAGACTCTACTTCCTCAGACGGCTGAGACGAGCTGGTCTGGGAAGCTCAGTCCTCACCTCCTTCTACAGGTGTGCAGTGGAGAGCATCCTGTGCTC